CCCCAAAACCCCAAAACCCCAGCTCTTCAAAATATTTTGAATACACATAATGTATAATATATTTTTCCTCATAGTTTTAAAACTAAATAACTTAACTTTAATTACTAAATGTTTATTTTTGTGCTCATAATCTATTATTTATGTGGATTATATTTTTCTAGGCTATCCTCTTAGAACTCTCTGGTGATATATATCCTATCAATCCTAGTGTCTTTGTTGATGTGGTGACGTTAGTATTGTTGTTGCTAATTAAGACAGCTGATGCTTTGTTTAAAGATTCATTGAGATCTATCTTTCTCACTTTTCCGATATTTTTAGAGACATCTTTCTTCATAAAGAAGTCATTTTGAAAGCCATTTGTGCTCTTTTATGGTGGTGAGAAAAGTCTATTACTACTCTTTGTAATTTACTATAGATTACTTCCAACTTTATTTTATTTAAACACTACTTCATTTTTTCTAGTCACAGAACTTTATCTATTAGAAGCAGCAATGGGTTTAACTGTTGTTGAATTTACTGAAAAAGTTTAATTCTAACTATTATTAGCTGTAGAATTGTAAAGGACTCTATGAGTAGTTGAGGTATATGCGTTAGACTTTATAGAAGTGTTATGAGTCAGTTAAGGCTTCTAGTTGCTTTTGTTAATTGCTTCTCGGGCAGAAAGTTAAGTTTAACTTATTAAACTTATGTTCGATTATTGAGTCATCCTTCGGGTGGTGAAAGTTTTTAGCTTGGATGAGTAATTGTTAAGCTAGTGCTAAAGTGCTAGCATTGATTTTTAGTTTTCTAGATGAAGCTGTTGCTATAATGATTAATGCTATTATGTCTAATATTGTGATTAATTTGTTCCTAAATGTAGTGGCTGCTACTTATGAGTAATTTTAGCATGATTATATTACTATGAAGGATTTTAAATGTAGTCAATAGATTTTTAAGGGGGTGAAAAATGTCTACCACGAGAAGGCACAATCTCTTGAATTGGTTTTATCAATGATTTAATCTTTTCATTCTAATGAGCTTTTGGAGTGAACTCATCTACAAAGATTTAGGATGAAGATTCCTACAAAAATTTTCTAATATCTTCATTTTCTGCATCAAATTCTGTAATGCTCTCTTCCATCTCATTACCTGGCGAGACGTCATCACTGTAAATCTTAGAAGGTTTCTTTTGTATTTGCTGCAAATTTATCATTTTGCCCATCTTGATTAGGGAAGTTTTCGTCTATAATACAGTATCAGGTTTTGAGTTTATTTTAATCTAATTTTGTTTGCTTATCAGTGGTCTTTGCTACTATTAGATATGTGGGCTTTCTTCGTGCTTTTTTTAGACTATATCAGTAATTTATTGATTCAAACTTATATTAGTTTTCATTTGTGAAGTATTCATATTTGCATTATTATTACCAGTCAGAGTACTAGTGTTAACAATATTTGTCTGCCCTTCTTTACCTAGCTTACTGTCAGCTACCTTTTTTGATTAAGGACTCATTAATTTATCATTAAGAGAAAGCAATTTTTTCTAAAGAAGACTATGTTATTTCTACTGCCATTGTTAATGCATTGAAAAATGACTCTTATCTAGGCCTGAGACAGTGAATTGATGTGCATACTTGCTCTTTGCTTTAATGGTGTTTTTATTTGGGTTTTATTAATTTAATGTAGAAGATTAATGGATTTATTAGGAAGTTGTGTTACTACTGTATTAACTTTTGTGTATAATACTTGGTCTTAAGCTGTTTGGAGCTTAAGTCTTGAAAGCATAAAGAAAACTCTCTTGCTCACTGACAGTCTAAGTATTGCATTCACTGATCTACTGGCTACCTATGGTATTTTGATAGGCTTAAAAGGGATTATTATGATCCTCTATAGATTATTTAAACTAGATATCAGATTAGCCAGAAATCATTTTTGAATTGCTGTTTTCAATCATATCTATGTTTTGGTTGAGAATGTTTTGAATATTATTTGTTTGTGACTTAATTTTTGCTAATATTTTGTTCCTTGACTTAACTTTGGGTTTATTCACACTGTTGTTTAATGATTATGCAGCATTTGAATAACTAGTAGGCTTGAAAAGTCTATTCTTATCAGTTTTCTTATCTTCTCGAGGTAATGATCTTTCTTATTTAATCCTAGAAGTGAATTTCATATTAGTATATGATTGTTTGCTCGAAGCTGATAATTTACTAACACTGCTACATTAGTGATGCTAAACAAGACTTCTTGAATCATGATAATTTCCTGTGCTAGATTTTTGTCTTCTCAAAATGCTGCCTTGTCTTTCAATCTGATTTTGATTGCTTTTTCTAGTGAAAGACATCTATGATCTTAATTTTCTTTGACTATTTGTCGGAGATATTAACTCTTTTTGTTATATCTAAGAGGATTGAACAAATTTATTGGAGTTAGTCTAACTATTGTAGGCTGAGTTTCGTTTTGAACCTAGATTTCTACCTTAAACATCGTCATTGTAATTAAAATTATCCCAAGATTAGATTTGAGCCAAACTATTTCCTATTTTAAGTTCTTAATTTGTATGTGTAGCTGGGACTGAATCATCCTGGCATAATCTTTAAGGATGCTTATTAAAGGAAATATAAAGATTTGATTCTCTTTTTCTTTCGGAAACAATACCTTGAGCTTTTTCTGTGAAGGCAAATAGAACTTCAGATTATCTTTTTTAAACTGATTATCTTTAATTTGGGTTCTTTATTTCAGGACCTAATAAATCTCTGAGATTATTCACTCCAAAAGGCACATTAAATGTTTACTATTTGTGATATTGTTAATGTTTCGTAGTTTGGGATGTTCTCTTAGAAACCATTATTCTTTGAGCCTAAAAATTTTACTTTGCTGCTTAGGAATGCCAGTTAAAGTCATTTTCAAGGATTTTGTGAATATCTATTTTCGCTCTTCTATTTGTAGGCGAATTTTCTTCAGATTATATAGTAGCCACTCTATCTTTATATTCTTCATCATCCTCATAGTCACTAAAGTTAAGTCTTCTCGTTTATCTTTTAACTGTATCTACCATAAAATCATCCTCACCTCTATCTCGACTTAAATCACGACTATCGCTACTAGTTTTGCTACTTACACTCTGTATGAGTTTAATTTCTGAATGATCTCCATCATTTTCAGAAACCTCCTCATTAATTTATTATGCTTGAATTATTGATTCTATCCCAAAATTGATATTTGATTCCCCTAATTCATTTTTCACCTGTTTAAGCTGTTAAAACCCTAATTTTTAAGTTGCGGTTGATATGTGACTATGCCTTGATTGTGTGTACTCAGCAAGACTTTTCATCATTTTTGGATCATGAATTGGTTTAACACTCTAAATATTTTTACGCACATCTTCCCCATGTTCTGTTATTATTGATGGATGATAACTTTCAGCCACTTTAAAGAAGTCTTTGTGATCATCACTTACTACTCTAGTCAGAATAGTATTTATTCTTTCTCTTGATCCACATTCGTTTGAATTATTAGTTGGACTCATCATTTCATATACAACGGGCAATTTATTCATAGTTTATCGTCTATATATGAATTCTTAGAAGGTTGGAGTTTCAGTCTTTTCTTTCAAAAGCTTTCTTGAATTATGTCCTGTATCATTTTAGAATTTCTGCTTGATTGGCTATATCTACTCAGATTTTCTAGCTTAGTTTGTAAAATTCAAATCTTCAGGTTAGCTTTATCCGATTATATTTTTTGCTGTCCTTAAATCCCCAATTTACTTCTGCTTTAGTCTTGATATATGATTGATTTTTTACTCATTAGAGATAACTGTATCAAGCCTCTCGTGATCTTATTAATCTCTTGACATTGATCTGGTTCTTCTAAGTTTATTATCATTAATTGATGTTCTCACTTTATAAAGTATATCCTCCTCTTCATCAGCGTTTATTTGTATTGGCATCTTTGTGTACTCTTTATCAAAATTACTTTGGTAGATATTTATCTTTATGGGGGTAATTAACTTCTTGTTAAAAATTAAATCCCAATTAACATCCCTGCAAAATTCATGATCCTTTATTTATTGAATGGTAATTCTAAGACTTGGATCTTTCTCAAGCATTCTATATAATAAACTTCTTGCATTTTTACTAAGAAATCCAGGCATTTCTACTTTTTTATGAACAATGTCCTAGTACATTCTCATTCGGTTTTAATTATAATGAGGAGGTAAACCTGTCAATAGCTCATATAATAGCACTCCTAAACAATAAATATCAAGCTCAAAGCTATGCCCAGTCTAATTTAGCATTTCTGGGCTCATATATTCAGGGCTTCCACAAAATGTCCTAGCAAGGCAATCTCCATTAAATTCCATTCTTGATAAACCGAAATCAGTCAATTTTATATGCCCATTTTCATCTATTAATATGTTTTCTGGCTTTAGATCTCTGTATAGAACATTATGATCGTGTAAATATTCCAAGGTTAATAGAATTTCAGCAAAATATATCTTGGCCTGGTTTTCACTAAAGTTCTTAAATTTGCTAATGTAGTAGAAAAGCTCTCCTCCAGGACATAAATCCAATACCAAATACAAATAATTTTTCTACATTTAGTTAATCTTAAGGTAGCTTACTGAAGTAAATGAGCAGTGAAGTTACACAATAAATGGATGATTAAGCATGCTTAGAATTTTTCTTTCACAGATGATCTATTAGACTTTGTTTGTGTCAACTATATGCTTTCTATTTATAACTTTCATAGCATATAACTTTCCATTAGTTCTTTTCCTTACTATAATTTATTTACTAATGATATAAATTACCCAATAAAACCTGAGAAAATCCTCCTGTTCCTAATACTTTAATCATATCATAATCTTTCAGAGAGGCAATCTATAAATTAGAACTTCTTTGTTTACTCTTCTTGACTTCTGCCTTGATTTCATCTGCTGTCACGAAGTTAAGTTTGAGGACTTAATCACAAAATACCTAACTTTTTTATTATTAAAATCTACTTACTTGCTACAAATTGATCTTATGATTAAAATTAAGTATCCCGCTAAGAGGTATATCTGGCTGCTAAAGCATATAGTCGATGCATTCCTCTTCATTATAAAGTGTTGAAACTGATGTAGGAATGAGATGCTTTACATTAGGGTATTGATTCTCAGATTAATTTTATTTAGAGGAATTTGAGTGAAAACTGTCATTATGCAATATCTGTTTGTACTATTTCACGCATTCCTGTAAAAGCCAAGTTGTAGTAAATTCGTCACTTATTTTACCCTCATTGTTAAAGAAAATTTCAAGCTTAATAAAACTATACAAAATTAGCCTAATTAATGATACCTGATTTTAGTGTATAATACCTTGATGTAGAACTGTTTAATTGTTTGCTGTTTACTAAACCCTCCGAGTATATTATTCTGGGTGAAAAATGTGGATAACTTGTTAAATGTCCTTGATGAAAAGAAACCGCTATCATTTTTGTTTGAAAGTGGATCTTAATTGTTTATTTGATTGGGAGTGTTAGATGTGGTTGCTGCTTGAGAATGCAAAGATTGGTGATTCTTCTTTTCTGACTGCTGCTATTGAAAATTGATGCCTCCTTTGATATTAGAACTCTAATTATTATTCATTCTTTTTTGATAATTAAAATTATGAATTAATATTTATTTCCTAAAAGTATTTTATATTTCAGATTAGCGGGGTTTTGGGGTTTTGGGGAGATCGGAAGAGCGTCGTGTA